CCCCCCTGCTTCTTTCTTATCTATTCCCTTCATAATTTTCTAAATCTTCTAAATTCCAATGAGTATATCCCAGTCTAATCAATCTTCAAGAAGATTCTGGAGGTCTACCATATGGTCTAAGTCTTCTGTCCCTCAGTATCTCTCAGATTGACGATCTTATCGCTGTGAGTCGAAGGCTCATAATAGAATGTTATCATTGATTACAAAGGGACTTGTCTACATAAGGATGTGTCCACTTAATAGTAAGGCCCTGGGAGATTAATTTAGATAAATGTGAGGTGTTGTAGTTTGGAAAGGCAAATCAGGGCAGGATTTATACACTTAATGTTAAGGTCCTGGGCAAGTGTTGCCGGACAAAGAGACCTTAAGATGCAGGTTCATAGTTCCTTGAAAGTGTAGTCACAGGTAGATGGGGTAGTGAGGAAGGTGTTTGGTACACTTGCCTTTATTGGTCAGTGCATTGAGTATAGGAGTTGGGAGGGTCATGTTGCAGCTGTACAGGACATTGGTTAGACCTCTTTTGGAATACTGCATTCAATTCAGGTCTCCCTGCTACAGGAAGGATGATGTTAAACTTAAAAGGGTTCAGAAAAGATTTACAAGGGTGTTGCCGGGGTTGGAGGGTTTGAGCTATAGGGAGAGGATGAATAGGCTGGGGCTATTTTCCCTGGAGTGTCGGAGACTGAGGGGTGACCTTATAGACGTCTATGGATAGAGTGAATAGACAAGGTCTTTTCCCAAGGGCGGGGGGAATCCGAAACTGGAGGGACGTAGGTTTAAGGTGAGAGGGGAAAGATTTAAAATGGACCTGAGGGGTAACTTTTTCACACAGAGCGGGGTGCGTGTGTGGAACGAGCTGCCAGAGGAAGTGGTGGAGGCTGGTACAATTACAGCATTTAAAAGTTTTCGGTAAAGGTATGTGAATAGGAAGGGTTTAGAGGGATATGGGCCAAATACAGGAAAGGGGGACTAGATGTAGGGTTTGTAGGGTGTCTGGTCAGCATGGACGAGTTGGACTGTTTGTAGGCTGTATATCTCCATGATTCTACAACCCTAAGTAGGGAGGTTATGGTGCAGGACAGTGGTGATACTGCTTCTGTAGTATTGAGCGCAGAAGCGTGCATTGAAGGAGTTCAGAGAATACTTATCGGACTAATACCTGAATTTGAGGCTTGTCTTATGGACAGACTAAACTTGTTCTAATTTGAATTTTATGAAGTGGGGACTCAGTTGAAATGTAAATGCTCCTGATGGGACACAACAGGATAGATCATAGAATCCCTACAGTGTGGAAGCAGGCCACACTGACCCTCTGAAGAGCATCCCACCCAGACTCACTATCCTACCTTATCTCTGTAACCTTGCATTTCCCATGGCTAACTCACTTAACCTACACATCCCTGGGCACTATGGGGCAATTTAGCACAGTCAATCCACCCTAACCTGCACATCCCTGGGCACTATGGG